GAAAATACTGCACAGATATGTCTTTTGAGCTTACAGACGAATAATTCTATACCAAACATCGAGCCTGGCTGCAATACTATTGCCTTCCGTAATTTGATCAATGAAAATGAGTACGTAATTATACCTACGGGAACATATGACCTGTTATACAAAATATGATGCCTGAGTATGTCAGTATGTTTGAATTAAAAGCAAACAGCAGAACATTAAAGTGTATGATATCGTGCAGCCATGGCGTTGATTTAGGAGTCGAGAATAGCATAGCAAAATTGCTAGGTTTTAGAAATGTACTATACACTACTGGTGCTACTCATGAATCTGAAAATATTGTCAACATAATGAAAATAAACTGTATAAAAGTAGAGTGCAACTTAATCACCGGCTCATTCTGTGACGGAGCCTCGAGCCAGATCATACACGAGCTTTATCCTACTGTACCTGCGGGATATAAAATCGTTGAGGTACCTAGACATTCAGTTTTTTACGGTCTCAACACGACTTCAATAACTAAAGTAAATATCGTGCTAAAAGATCAGAACGATTGTCTGATTAATCTGCGTGGCGAACCGATAACAATTCATTTACAAATAACGCGTGGATATGGCACTCAAATTTAATATAAAAAGAGCTACAGTCAAAAAACCTATCAGTATACCGCCTGCCGTTAAGAAGTCTACATCTAAACCGAAAAATATCAAGCTCACGAAAAATAATTTAAATTTTCTTCGTTCGTTACAATGATGGATGACTCATATTTAGACGTGACGGCCGACTATGTCGACGATTGTAAAATAACTCAAAAGAGTTACCATTCGTTCACACCGTATTCAAGCACCGCTCTATCATACAATGAAGAAATTAGAATTAATATTCAAAACATGGATTCTTACACTTTACCATGTGAGAGTTATATTTACATTGAGGGGAAAATAAATAAACCTAACGATGCAGTTGGAGATGTTCGTTTTTCAAATAACGGATTGGCATTTTTATTCTCCGAGATGCGATATGAAATAAACGGAGTAGAAATACAAAAATTGAAATCACCTGGAGTGTCTTCTTGCTTGAAAGCATACTGCTCGTATACTCCAAACGATTTGAATGCGTTAGAGAATGCGGCTTGGGACTCGGCAATGGATACTGAAGATAATAAAAATTTTATGAGCAACGATGTATTTGCCGGGTGTATCCCTTTAAAACATTTATTCGGATTTTGTGAAGACTATAAAAAAATATTACTTAATTGTAATCAGCAACTGATTTTAAATCGTGCATCTACCGACCTGGATGCGATACACGTTGTTGGCGAGGGTGCAACCAAAGCCGTTGATAAAAATAAAAAAATTACAATTGAACTGACTAAGGTGACCTGGAAAATGCCTATTATCAAAGTCAGTGATAAAGAAAAATTAAAGTTATTGAAAGTATTAGATTCTCGTAAAACGTTATCGTGTGCGTTCAGAACCTGGGATCTCTGTGAGTATCCTGTGCTCCCTAGAAATACTTCTCATTCGTGGACAGTAAAGTCTAGCAGCTTGCTCGAAAAGCCGAGATTTGTGCTGTTTGGATTACAAACAGATCGAAAAAAAAATATCGAAAACGACACTGGTCGATTCGATCACTGTCAACTAAAAAATCTTAAGGTTCACTTAAACTCTGAAGTGTTCCCGTATGAAGACTTTCGCGCTGATTTTAAAAATAATACCACCAGCATACTCTACAAAGCTTATACAGACTTTCAAAAATCGTATTACGAAAGAGATTATTGTGAACCATTATTATCAAAACATATTTTTCAAAATTATGTTCCAATCATCGTTGTTGATTTGTCACACCAGGACGACAACGTTAAATCATCGACCGTGGACCTACGAATTGAATTTGAAACGGATACAATTATTCCAGAAAAAACTGCAGCTTATTGTTTAATACTACATGACCAGATTATAACTTATAATCCCTTTAGCGGAGATGTTAGAAAGTTGTAAACCTTATATATATAAATATTTTTATACCTTGTAAATATTTTATACCTGGTAAATATTTTAAACCTTGTAAATATTATATACCTTGTAATTAGTACCTTATTTTCTAATAAATGAGAAAACTTGGTTTTAAATATCACGCTTGTTTTTATTTTACACAAAATTATTTAAACAATATCATTCAAAAAAGCGTTTGCGTTTTGCGTTCCGTTTTTTCGCGGGCTTGCCGCTTAGAATAGATGGCGAGTGGTTGTAAGACGTCGGACCGTCGTTCTCATCAATTGCGGGGCTCGTTGGTAGAGGTTCGATGTATTTATCATGCCATGGAGGGTACTGCCCACAATTGTCTAAACAGTCGAACGATGGTGGACTGGTAGGCTAAACAAATAATAATTATTTGTCAATATATATGTATAAATTATATGACGTGTATATTACCTTCGGCTTGGTTGGTGCCCATGTCGCCTGTGTAGGGTTGATTTGCATTAAAAATTCATTGATACCATTCTCCTCGTCAGCTCCCTATAAAAATTAAAATAATTAATACTTATATTATTTTTTTAGTTTTATAAATTATAAATTACCCTTGCTTGTGAGCAGTCTTCAGAGTCATAAAGCAATGGCGACATGGCTGAGTATTGAGACGGTGAAATGAGTTTCATTTCAGATTCGGTGAATAACTATAAAATAATAAAAATATGTATTGTATTTTTCCGATTGAATAAGTTTTAAAGATTTACCTCTGGTTCTCCACTCCAACGTTGCGCCCAATGTTCGGATAATTGAGATGAAGCATACATTTTGAGTTGACTGATGAAATCCATGTCTTCTTTAGGATTGGATTCAATAATTTTATCGTCACTTAAATTTTTGATAAAAACGATCATTTCTTCGGGTGTCTTTGGTGGTAAATCAACTTTGGTAAATTCCTGGTCCAAATAATTACCCATAATCTCAAACTGTTTTAAGACAAGTGGTCGTATGATGTTTGACTTTCGAATGACTGTTTCGAAAATACACCGCTCCAAATATTGCAACTGTATTAGGTCCACGCGATTCAACAGTACTCTGCACCCGTCCTGAGTTTTTGACTCTATTACTAGCACATTTTCTCCACCATACACCATACTAGACAGCGAAATAATTTCGGTTTCCAGAAATAAATTTCGCTTATATTTTTGCGGTTGATCCAAAATAAATGACAATATATTTCCCATCAGAGAGAATATACGTCTTAAAAAATCGGCAGGCATATTTACATACCGCGATGGTGTGATTATTTGGACTACGATATTGAATTCGTCTGTAGGATCAAGTCCTACATTCAAAAACTTACGGCCGGTGAAGTCAAGTGTAAAATTATTGCAGTCGATGAGGTCCGCAGGTGGTGTTGGTGGAACATAGGTAAAATTCTTCTTTTTGTATAGGGCATCGTTGTTGGTGAAAGAATCAGCCATGTTTAAAATTATTTTTAAACACTATTAGATAAACTGTTTTAAAAAAAATTTTAGAGAGCAAGAAAAATATACGTGTACACTGGTTTAACGCAGTAGACGGACTAAATACAAGTGCCAGTTGTTTCAGCATAGTATAATAACCGTGTGAATTGTCCCTTCTTCGATATGGCAGATACTTGTATTATTATTAGAGGTGGCTATTAAGACATCCTGGCTATGACAATAAGTAGGCTATTAGGGTTAATGTATTTTTCATTAATTGGTATCTTCTATTCGATATACTATAGGTCATTTATTGATTGTTCGGCGAGCGTGCGAACGGATTTACTAATGACAATACGCGCAGCTGCAATCTATTATTAAGGTGGCTATTAAGACATCCTGGCAATGACAATAATTAGGCTATTAGGGTTAATGTATTTTTCATTAATTGGTATCTTCTATTCGATATACTATAGGTCATTTATTGATTGTTCGGCGAGCGTGCGAACGGATTTACTAATGACAATACGCGCAGCTGCAATCTATTATTAAATGTTTCTTTTGCAGTTTTATGTACCCGTTAAATATGGCAAGTTCTTAATATAAAGTATATGTGTCGGGGTGGCGCAGTGGTACGGTGATCGCTTGCCGAAACCGACGGACTCGGGTTCGAAACCCGGTCCGGAAAAAAATTTTTGGCTTATTTTCGGCTGGTGGCGGCGTAACATGTGATAAAATACGATAACGAAAATAATATGATAACAGTGATAAAATATGATAACATTGATAAAATATGATAACAGTGATAACAATAATATAACTAACGCTCGACGCGGGCGGTGTGATGAGTGATGATGATGAGGGGTGAGGGATGAGTGATCGGGCGGTTGTGGGTGCGAGTGCGAGTGCGGGCGGTATGATGAGTGATGAGGATGCGGTTGTGGGTTGTGGATGTGGGATGTGGAATGTGGATGTGGGATGTGGTGTCAGGATCGGCATATATATTCTACTGAAATGATTCCTTATTCTAAAAAGAATAAAGGTTATAAATATATTTTAACTATCATAGATTGCTACACGAAATACTGTTTCGCTGTACCTTTAAAGTCAAAAACGGCTAAAGAAGTTTCAAATGCAATGTCAAAAATACTACTCAAGCGCTCGCCAAAACTATTGCAGGTCGATAACGGAAAAGAATTTTACAATGTAACATTCGATGCGCTGATGAAGAAACACAATATACATAAATATTCCACGTATAGTACAACAAAGGCTTGTATCATTGAGCGTCTAAACAGATCAATTAACCCTTAGCTACACGCGCCATTTTTTTTTCAATAATTGCACGCGCGGTGTATTTTATACACCAATTTGTTTTACGCAGAAATCAATGTCGTATTGCATATATATTTGACTTTATTTACTAATAAAAGAACAAAAGTACTACTTAATATTGTTTTAAATTTAATCATAAAAAAAAAATTTAATAAAAAAAAATTTTGTTATTACTATATTATAATTGATAAAAGTAAAAATAACTTATTGTCAAATAATTTTTACAAACTTAAATTAAATCTTACTCACTATCCTGACTTATTATACATCTTTCACATCTGACAACAGCTTTTACGTGCTCTTTACATTTAAACTTCTGACATGAAGAACATTTTATTGTTGTCACCCTATTTTTGGCTCTTCCACACAAATAACACCGACTTCGTATTTTTGTCGGAGGTTCTTGAACGTCCACTTCTTTTGTTTCATATTTTGATAAAAAATGTTTTATGTCAGTAGGGAGATTTGCCATCTGTGATCTTTCACTCAAGTGGTTATTCATCAAATTCATTGAAAGTGATTTTAGAAATGACCTCCTATTCTTATGTTTTTTTTCTATTTGTGTATTGTTATATAGAATATTTGCATTTATACCTGCAATGTTGAGAAGTTGAAAAAATATTGATAATGGCCATCTGCGTGTTCTCCTAGAAACTGAATAATTCCCACACATTTGGTCGACAGTGTCCACGCCTCCTTTTGTGGAATTGTAAAAGTGTATAACTTCAGGTTTTTTTGTCTCACTATTTACTGACGTATCATTATGCATAGTTGATAATAGAATTACAGCTTTATTTTTTTTAGGAGTATATGATGTTATCATTATTTCTTTTTGAAATCCAAAAAATGAAGAATTAACTGCTTTATTTTTATGTGGTTGAAAGTCTACTGGAATCTCCTTTTTATTTTTTCTCAATGTTCCTACTATAGTTGTTTGCTTTTTTAGTAATTCAGTAGCCAAGGGATAACTAGTATACCAATTATCACATGTTAGGTTACGATTTGATCCCGTTACATTGTCAAGTAATCTCATGACAATATCAAATGGCTTGGAAGACATATTGTAAGGCCCGTCTGGTTGCGTCCCACAATAAATTTCTAAATTCCCCGTATAAAATGATTTTGCATCAACCAGTGCAAATATTTTCAAGCCATATTTTGCAGGTTTACTTGGTATATACTGAATAAAACTACAACGACCTCTAAATGGGACTAACATTTCGTCAATGGTCAAATATTCACTAAGGCAGTAACTTGTTTTACAATTATATACAAATTGATCAAGCATTGACCTCACAGCAGTTAGTTTGTCCTCAGATCTTCTATAATTTCTAGTAGTTCTATCGTCGAATCTCATTGAATTCAAAATAAAAAGAAAACGGTTACAGCTCATACAAGCCCGAAAAACTTCAATTCCAGTACCATCTGTAGCCCAAAGTTCAAGAAAGTTGGTGTGATTCCCTTTTTTTATTCCTGACAAAAACAACAAACCAAAAAATGCCATCATTTCATTTTTTGTTATAAATTTGGCATCTCTATCTCTTTTATAGTTTTTTTGAACTGTCGAAATATACATATTGGTGTAATGAATAATTTCATCAACCATTTTGTCTGAAAATATTATGTGGAAAGCCCCTACTTCATTTTGAATTTCTTCAGTTGTAAATTTTGAACCAGGTGTTATATTTATTATATTTTTTTTTTTAGTTTTAGCGAATTTACTTGTCAATGGTGTCTTAGACCATTTTGTTGCTTTATCTTTACCAATAAAATATTCGAGCTCAATATTATCGTCATCACTATCGGAATCCTCAAATGAACTGTATTCCAAGCACGAGTTACTGTCATGATCACTATTATTTACTATTCTTACTTCATTGTCGTCTTCATCACCTCCCACTTCTTCTTCCGATGATTCCATATCTAATATGTCATTCACATCATTTGGCGTAAGCTTTGACCTAGTATAATAATAATAATATGATTAAATAATATACTGATTATATAATAATTAAATATTAGAAAAATAATACGGAATTATCAGTCAGTATAAGACGTAAAAATTACTTACATTATTACTCGCGTGGTGTATTTCGTTCACCGATACAAAAATATTTTATAAGGAGCTTGTTTGTGCGGCTACAAACATCAAATGACGACTGAAATGGATTAATAACTATTACATATTAGATAAGAAAAGGTTAGATTAGGAGAATAACTGAAAACAAATAAAAACTAAAATAGAACAAGATGAACAAAAATATTGGTGTACAAAGTACACCAGCGCGTGTAGTTAAGGGTTAAGGAAAAAATGTATAGAGAATTCACTGCGCGAGGATCACATGAATGGGTTTCTATTCTACAATCTCTGATTAACGAATATAATAATTCAAAACATAGAACAATAGGTATGACTCCTATACAAGCTGATGCAAATCCTTCTTCAGTGAAATTAAAGCAACGTCGAATTAATAATGTAAAAATTAAATTGAACATCGGTGATTGTATTCGGATAAGCACGTATAAATCAGTATTTTCAAAGGGATATCTGCCGAGCTGGTCCACAGAAATATTTAAAATAACCAAAATAAATAAAACATCTCCCACTGCTTATCAACTAGAAGATTATACAGGAAGCCCGATTTTAGGTTGTTTCTACTCTGAGGAAATTCAAAAAACTAGTTTCCCAAACGATTATTTAGTCGAAAAAATTATTCGTAGGAAGGGGAAGAAAATGTTTGTAAAATGGTTAGGGTTCGATAATACACACATAAGTTGGATAGATACGAGCGACATCAGAAAATAGTGTCAGTCGAACACTAGACATGAAAGTGTTTGGAAGTTCACAGGCTGGTGAAACAAAAAAATTTGTGACAAATCTCGAACAAACCGTAAAATCATATTGTATAAAACTAAGTAAGTTAGAACATTTACTCGAGGAAAATCATAAATCCATTCAAACACAGGAAGAGCAGACTGAAACACTTCCATTAACGTGTGATGATATACAAGAGCGCCTTATAAAAATCGAAGCAATGTTACAAAATATCAGAGAAAATACAGACAATTTGAAAAAAAATTCCTAAAGTACTATCATCATCATCATCATCCAAGCAATAATGTCTACTGGTATCATTGATTTTCATTGCATTCTTGGGAGGGACAATAAATACATGATAAAAGAAATGTCTGTAGTAGATGTAGAAACATGGGCTACCCAACATTGGATTTTTAAAAATTCAAAACCAATACAGGATAACAAGAGTCGTAAGACTAACAAGTGGTTGGAACGTAATTATCATAAACTATCTCTGGAATATGGCGATGTTGAGTATGAAGAACTAGGCAGAGTGCTGAATTCGTTAAAGTTTAGCTTCATATACGTTAAAGCCGATCAGAAAAAACAACTTCTTTTAGAGTATATTCCTCACATCGGAATCATCAATATTGAAGACATGGGATGCCCTCCACTAGACCAAATATGTGATGAAGAAACTTTACCATGTTGTATTTTTCATATGAATTTCAATCCTAAACAATGTTCATTTTATAAAGTATTTAGCCTAAGAAAATGGTTTGTAAAAAATATGTAAAAATAAACATTATATTTATTTTTTTATATCAGTGAGTTATTTCTTTATACTACCCTATCCTAACTATTTGCAATAATAATAAATATAATATCCATAGAGATACTTTACAAAAAAAAAAAAAAAAATAGTATCTACATGGTATTTTACAGAATAAAAAAAAAAATATCTACAGTGTCAGTGATATTTTACAGTATAAAAACAATTCATTATGGATACAAAAAAAATTATCTGTTTAGCTCGGCTTCTGCAAGTTGCATTAAATCGGCTTCTGCTTCCTCTAGTGTTCTGGTTTCCCTATACAATTTAATAATATTAAAAGTGTGATAAATTAAAATATATAATTATTTTTTAACTCACTCTATGGAGTAGTGTCCGTGAGCCAAAGTATGTATTTTATCCTCGAGTATAACCCTCTTGTCATCGAAACTATTATAAGTTACTTTGTTTGACTTAATGGTCTTCAAATGATGTTTGAATGAACGGATGGAGACATTCTCTCTCTTAGTTTTCAATGTTGCATCTCCAAACAGACAACGGTAATGATCGTTAAAGTTCATGTGGTTTTTCACTACATGGCCACGGATTCCTTTTGCCCTGATCTTCTCTTTCCCATTGATCTTATATGTATAAGACTTTGCACGGAGAGCACAAAAATGTGTCATTACCTCTGAGTTGGTTTCATCGGAAAAGAGTCCTGGTATCTTCTTTCGTTCGGCAATGTAGCAAGGGTGATCTGATGGCAAGTCTGATGTATCCATTCGATCAAGTAAATTGGAATTATTCTTAAGGTCTTTGTTGAAATATACAATTAATATGTAGTATATGTAGTCAGCCTTGACACGTGTGTACAATATAGTAACTAGTTATGTACGAGCATAAGACTCACTCTCTCACGGATGTAACATGACCTCGGTCGTGCATATATATAAGGCCTTTGATGTATGTAATATTCACTTGCACAGACGCTGTCATACCGAGTGTACGCGGTGTGTGTGTATAGTCACAGGTTAATTGTCCAGTTGTACGTTATTATATATTATACTTATACATAATCATATTGTCGTGTTATTACTTATTATATTAATGCTAACATCATTAGTCCGTCAAGCTTCACTTTCAACAGGTTATGGGCCCAGTCAATAACCAAGACAAACAGTCTAGTGGATTCGTGATCGAAGTATTTTTATATTTGTATTAACGCAGAAAACTACAACCAGTCGGAGATATCCTGGATTTCGGAAAACGGCGGAACAGTGTACATAGGTAAAGTTTTGTTATAAATTGTTATACAGGAAAGTATACGGGAATCCATCGGTCATGGAAGACACGGTGAAGATAACAAAATTATGTGCGGAAAACTGGTCGTTATGGAAGTTCCAGATGAAGGTCATTTTAAATGCCTTGGAAGTAGGTGAGATAGTTTCAGGTGAATGGACGAAACCAGGTCTACCTATAAAAAAGTCGGCAGGAGAGACCGACGAGGAAGCCAAAGCACGTTGGCAAAGGCATACTAGCGCTTGGCAAAAAGCGGACGGTAAATGTCAGAAAATAATAGTTACCTCAGTGGACGATGGTCCATTGTAATATTTGATTAACTGTGAGACTGCATTGGAAATGTGGGAGAAACTGCTGAGTATTTACGAGCAGAAGTCTGAGGCAAGTTTACATTTGCTTCAACAACAATTTTTCAGTTATTCAAAGGAGTCGACAGATGACATGTCGACGCATATTTCTAAATTGGTCAATTTAGGAAGGAAACTGAAAGTAGCGGGTGAACCAGTTACGGATAACATGGTTATGACAAAAATACTAATGACACTACCAAAAGAATATAATCATTTTTACAGTGCTTGGGATTCAGTCCCGACGGGAAGTAAAAATATAAATAATTTGACTAGTCGATTGTTGATTGAAGAATCACGGGTTATCCAGATCAAAGGTGAAGTTGGTGAACAAGAGAAATCGAGTGCATTTCCGGCCAAATTTCAAAACAGATCTGATGGAAGAAACGGCAGTCGTAATTATGGAAAAGGTAAAAATCAATTTACGAATAAAAGTAATATTAAGTGTTATTACTGTGGTAAACTAGGTCATTATAAAAAAGACTGTAGAAATTTTCTACAAAGTGTACACGGTGGTAAAACCGGTACTATAGGTGCGAACTTGAACGCATTCGTAAGCGAGTCAAGTATAAATAATATTGCAACAGATGCGTGGGTACTAGACTCGGGCGCTTCGGATCATATGAGCGCAAATCGAGAGTGGTTTTCAAGTTATGAACCACTGGACAACACGCAACAAATCACGATAGGTGATGGGACGAATCTGTATGCAGCAGGTAGAGGTAATATTAACATATTATCATACGTAAACGGTAATTGGAATAAAAATTACATGGCAAACGTGTTGCACGTGCCAGGACTAAAATTTAATTTATTTTCGTGCGGAGCCGCGATGGATAAAGGTTTAGTATTGACGTCAGATAGTAAAACGTGTATGTTAACTAAACAGGGGAAACCCGTATGCTCAGGTAAGAGATGCGGAAGGTTGTTTGAGTTAAACATCAAGGTCGAAGTACCGACAAACGGGTACGCGACGGTAGCTGTCGAAAACAGGTTGTCTGTTTGGCACGAGCGCATGGCACATCAGAATTTACAGTACGTAAAAAGTTGTTTGGCGAAACACGAGATAGTATGTTCGGCCAAGGACGACGAATTCATGTGCAGCAGTTGTATAATAGGTAAACAAAGTCGTAAATCATTTAGTAAAAGTAATACGGAGTATCACAATGTCGGTGATTTAATTCATGCAGACCTATGTGGACCAATGGAGGTAAGCTCTATAGGCGGTTCAAAATATTTTTTGTTATTCAAAGACGACTACTCGCATTATAGAACGGTATATTTTATTAAAAATAAATATGATGTTAAAATTATTTTTGAGACGTTCATAAAAAGTGTTGAAACAGAAACAGGTTCTAAGGTCAAAATATTACGAACGGATAATGGATTAGAATTCGTAAATAAAGAAATTACGGGTATTTTACAAAAACACGGGATTCGACATCAGTTAACAGTTCCCTACACACCACAGCAAAATGGAAAAGTGGAACGGGAAAATCGTACAATAGTAGAGTCAGCGAGGACAATGATTTGTGCGAAAAATTTGGATGTATCACTTTGGGCGGAGGCGGTAAACACGGCAGTTTACACGCTTAATCGAACAGGAACCAGTTCAGTTAAAAATAACTCACCATACGAGTTATATTACAAGGTAATGCCAGACATTAAACACTTACGAGTTTTTGGTACTGTCGTATATACACACA